GATTATATAAATGAAAGGGTGAGTGCCAAGAAAGAAATTTTTTGTATATATATATATATATATATATATATATCTATATATATATATATATATAGATATATATATATATATATATATATATATATATATATATATATATGTGTGTGTGTGTGTGTGTGTATTTTAGATTTTTTAATTATTGTTTATGTATATGTTTACAGCGTCTACATATATTCACAGGATTTACATAAGCCAAAATAGATTCATTAAGTTGAAATGTATGTGATGATTCGGGTGACTCTTGAAAAATCTTGCTAATTTAAGTGTTAATTAATATGATGCTAATCCGTAAGACAGGAAGAACAAGTTCAGGATTTGGAGATGTGCCATCTTTAACAATAAAATAATACTTTGTATGAGAGGAGAATGAGAGACATGTCAAACTCAGCTGCATTAAGGTTAAACAACAAAACTTAACCTTGTGGGTGACAGAGGTCCATCTAAAACATGTTACAGCATTTTGAGAAAGATTTTAACCCAAAGTACACGCATTTCTTTGTGTTACCTTTTTGTTCTACTGTTAACCCCTTTCAGCACATGTTACAACTACATTGGGAGCTCGGAGAGAATGAGAATCATGCAACTATTTCACAACTTTGTAAATGAGTGTCAGAATGTTATAAAAATAGTTTTAAATACAACTACAATAGGTACAAACCAGCTAAATCTACTGTATGTAACTTTAAAAAATGGTTACTGACCATTTATAATTAAAACACTCAATACAACTAATAAAAATAAACCGTGCACAAAGCTAACCATAATGTACGTAAATTTATTTTCCATAGTTATAAAATGGTCTTTCTGCACTTCAGAAATAAAAAGTGAATTTTCTGGCTGTATTACCATTTTTTTTATGTTTTCCTCAGGGATGTCGACCTGTCTACCAGAAGATGCTGCACATAGAGATCTCATGCTCTTTGCATTTGTTAGTGTCCAAGATGGTATAATAGCTTGAGGCTTTGAAATAAAGGTACATTTAATAAATTCCAATGTAATGTATTCACAGTTTGCATATTTTTCATGATTTCCTATTATTTCTAAAGCAGTTCATAATTTCAAACACTTTAGTGCTTGGAAGATGCCATTATCTTGTGCATTATCTGCCTTAATCTCAGCTGCAGAATTGGGACACGTGTATAATGATATGCCAGTGTACCTGCTAGGATATCTCACAGTCCATGGCCATTGCCCATGATATAGCCATGTAATATGAAAAGGCTGCTGATCCTTCTCTTAAATTGTAGCTGAGTTCCTTCTAGAAATGGCCTCAATTTTATATTTTTGGATAAGATTTTCAACTGACCTAATTTTTTGAAAATATTTTAATTTTCAATATTTCTATTAATACTTTTTTATATATTGATATCATTTTACAAAGGATAATTTTTTTTATATTTTAATATTTTGAAAATATAATTTTAACTGTTTATCCAAAAATATTATTTGAAAAGTGTATCCAAAAATAATAAAGTGAAGCTCAAATCTGTAAAAAATCATTTTCTTGCTGCCACACGGTTATTTACTGAACAATGAGCTGTTGGAATTTCAAAGTGAATTTATAATGATATGCCAGTGTACCTGCTAGGATATCTCACAGTCCATGGCCATTGCCCATGATATAGCCATGTAATATGAAAAGGCTGCTGAACCTTCTCTTAAATTGTAGCTGAGTTCCTTCTAAAATGGCCTCAATTTTATACTTTTGGATAAGCTTTTTAACTGACTTAATTTTCTGAAAATATTTTAACCCCTTAAAGCGGCACTGTCATGCCGAAACCCGTTTTTTTTTTTAACCCCCCTCCCGCCTCCACTACATCCAATTGACCCACTAGTCACCCCCAAATGCCCCTAAGCCCTCCACATTACCTATTTTTTAATCCTTATTTTCTGCCCCGATCTTGATTCAGGGCGCCGCCATCTTTGTGTGGGTAGGTGAAGTCCCTGTGGGACACGTCATCAGCCCACACTAGACAGACTGTGAGATTTCCACACATGCCCAGTGAAACACCTGGACATGCGAACGGGAATTTCATCTATTCATTCATTCATCAGACAGACGAATGAATGAATAGAAAGATCAGCCGAACAAACACACACAATGTATCAGTGTATCTGAGTATCAGTGTATGTTTGTTCGTGCAGTTTATTACAAGGAGGGAGCTACCGGCGTGCAGCTCCCTCCTTGTAATATGTAACTATAGAAGCGGCAGGGAGCAGTGCTCCCCACCACTTCATAAGCCCTCCAGTACCCCCTCTCACTCTATGGGGGTCAATATGACCCCCATAATAGCACAAGAGAGATTTAAATCTCCCAAATGCCCCTACTCACTATACCGCGAGTAGGGGCATGTCTACTAAACAGTGAGCAGCCTGAAAAAAAAGACATAAATTACAATAAGGGGGAGCGGACCTATTGTTCTCCCCCCTCCCCCACCCTGAGCGGCGGGTGGGGCCATAAAGATAATGGGGGGGGGACCTACTGTCCTCCC